GGTAAGTTGTCGCCCCGTTTCATTGGGCTATTTCAAATTCTGGAAAGGCTTGGCCCAGTTGCTTATCGAGTCGCTTTGCCGCCGGGATTCGAGCAAATTCATAATTTGTTTCATGTGTCGATGTTGAGGGGTTATCTTCAAGACTCGTTCCAAGTGATTGATTATCACCGAGTAGCTCTTGATGAAAATATGGAGTACACTGAGTGGCCGGAACGAATCGTTAACTGGCAAGTGAAACAATTGAAAAGCAAGTCCATCCCAATGGTGAAAGTGGAATTGAAAGAACACTATGGGACGAATGCCACGTGGGAAAAAGAGGATGAAATGCGCCAACGCTATCCACATTTGTTTCCCGACGAAGGTAAAATAAGTTTGGAGGACCAAACTTTCTAAAGGGGGGAAGACTGTGATAACCCTGTTCCGTATTATGCTAATTGGTCTTTATTATGAATGTGGTTATGTGTCTAACATGATTTGGTGTGCCATTTATATGAATATATGTGGTTTTGAATTTCTATCAGTTCACCGTAGGAAAATCTGTTTGACTTTGTGCTTTGGAATTTAAATTGAAGGCCTTATCGGCCACCAAACTCGAAATTGACTACGCCATTGTGATTAGCGTAATTTTTAGAGCCTACGGTGAAATTTAATTGAAAATTGATTCAAATCAGATTAATTAGATTTAATTAATGGGTAGTGCTCAAATTATTTAATATTAATAATTGTGATTAGTGGAACTTATGTAAAGAGGGGCACTTTACATTCAATTCCTTTACTTGAGCTCATAATCAAATTTTGGTGCCTTAGAAAGAGAGAGGGTCGGCTCTAGAGAGGGAGAAGAAGGAGAATTGTGTGTTTGGCTCAAGTTTGTGAAATTAGGAGGTTGGACTCAAGATTCAACTAGAAATTCTGAAGGTTAAAGCTCCTAGGTGAATAAATTCATGAGTTGAGCTTATGATTTTGTGAATTTAAAGTTGATTGATGATCAAGAACAAGAATTGTACTATAAGTGATGAAATTGAGTTGATTTTGTTGAATTGGAAGTCAATATGCACATGCATGTGAGAAATTACTTTGAATTTGCATATTTGAGCACAAAATGTATAATCCATGTGAGATTTTAGTTGAAGCTCATATTTTTGACCATCTCTTCATCATCTAAGTTGAGAATGAGGGTTATATCTCACATGCATGTACAATTCATAAGAATATGATTTTTGAATGCATGAATTTGTTATGTTGGAAATGAGTTTGGTGTAAATTGGGACATGCATGTGATTAATTTGTAAAATTGAGTTTCATAATGTAATAAATTTGGTGTTGGATCATGTTAGTACATGTATATGTGAAGTTTGAGCCATAATATGCAGGATATGTTGATTTGAATGTTGAATTTGAGCTCAAGAACAATTCTGGATTTTCCAGAATTTGGGATGTCTGCTCGCGCGGGAAAGGCGCCGCTCGAGCGGGAAATACGAGCTCCCAGTATATTTTGCAGACATGATGTTCGCTCGGGCGAGGAAGTTCACGCTTGAGCGGGGAGCTATCTAGGATGACCTTCAACTCGAGCGCCCGACTTCACACTCGAGCGTAAAAATGATGTAACCAGTACTTTCGCAGACCTTATGGGTCCGCTCAAGCGGGGAAGTCCACGCTCGAGCAGCGGACCCCTGTTTCTGAAATTTTGAAAATGCATTTTGTGCTTCATTTTCCGTCCTCTTTCACTTCTAAGTACTCTTAGGCAGGCATTAAGCATTGTAAATGAGTTAAAAAGATAAGAAAGAAGCCTAAAGAGGAATATGTGAATTAAGGAACGGATTGAATCGTTTGTGACCCATGTGTGTTATGTAATATGTAAGGTCAAGCTCCAGGGCAAATCACCCCGCCGATCACTGTGAGTAATATCTTCATAAAGATATCTGAAGTATGCTATTTATCTAATTGCTTACTCCTGTGTAAGTCTTATGAGTTTGTTAATTTGAATGATAGAATGAATGGGCCAAAGGCCAGTTTGACATGATTGATAGAATGAATGGCCCGAAGGCCAGTTTGACATGAACGAAAGAATGGATGGGCCAAAGGCTAGTTTGATCTGAATGAAAGAATGGTTGGGCCAAAGGCTGGTCTGACGTGAATGAAAGATAAATGGGCCAAAGGCCAGTATGATACGAACGAATTAGGCCCGAGGCCGTATGATGTGTATGGAACCGCAGTCACTTGACCTAAATTTTATATATATGCTAAATAGAAATACGAATTGGGCACAAGGCCGTTTGAAGCATGTTGTTCTATATACCGTTTGTATAACTTCTTTATTTGATATTACTCACTGGGCTTTCGCTCACGCTCATTCATGTGTTTGTAGGTGAGCCAAGAGAGGCCCAAACCCAGCCTTAGTGAAGTTTGTGTGGAACAACCAAGGTTTTGAAGAGTTAGCCCTTACGTCACATGCACGAGACCCGTCTTCGCTCTTTTGCTATCTTGTTTTATTTTGTCATGTCGACGGGGACTTTGGATATGTTTGTATATAGTTTTGATTGGCTGACTTAGACTTGAATGATCCTGTCTGTACAGAACTTTATGTTACTGTATTTTCTGATGTGAGTTATTAATATGTATATGTATGGTTTGTTATGATGTGCCATGTAAGCACAGCTCTATGGACAAAGTTTTAAATTTTGCTTCCGTTTGACCCCTTTACTCTAATGAGTTATATCTGGTTTGGCTTGAGGCCGTAGGTAATCTCAGGATTACTGGCTGGTTATGTCCTTAACCCATGGGGGCGGGTTCGAGTCATGACAATATGTAAAATAAAAATATTAGTTCCAAAATATTAGACACTCTCAATTTCTCTATAATAATAATGATGAGAGAGTCGAATCTTATATAATTAAATTTATGACAAAAAAAAATGACTTAAATTATACATTTTGTTAAATCACTTTACAATTTGTCTATAATAATACGATTCAAGATTTATATATTTCTAGTGTAAAAGATTTAAACGGCAATGTTGGATTTTATCACTTGGTTTAGAGCCAGGTTCAGGAGGATTTTATCACTTCATTTAAACGGCAATGTTGGATTTTGTTAATTTTTTTTATGAATCATAGTCTCATAAATTCATTCCACAATGTTTATAATCTTTCTTTTAACAATTCCAATTCAATAATTAAGAAGAGGGATTGAAACTTGTGGATTGATGTTGGAAAGAATGTGATGAGGAGAGAGAATATAGAGGCCGCCGTGAGGAGGGTGATGGACGGTGGTGATGATGATAGAGAAGGCTAAAGTGCTGGGAGAGATGGCATTGAAAGCTCTTAAAGAAGGTGGATCATCTCATAGAAATTTGACGGTGTTGATTGAAGAGCTTGAGCAACTAAGAGATCAAAGGGCTAAGGAGGATTGAGGGTTATTACATTGTTTATGTCTCTATTCTTCATTGCTTATTACATTTTGTTGAAATAAGGCATTCAAATGGCTTTTAATAGTCAAATTCTTTATATGGTTGGAAATTGAATGCTACAGGTTGTGGAGAAATATTTTTATTGAATGGTTGAGAATTGAATGAATGAATGAATGGGTAAATAATTTTGTATATGTACAGGTTTTAGGTAGCGCAAAAAATATTACAGAACAAATTATAAAAACTAAATGAGACTTTTTGGCGACTAAACAAATATCACAGGTTGGCTTTTGGCGACTAAAATTTTAGTCGCCAATTGTAAAAAGGAAACTTTTGACTACTAAATGTTTAGTAGCCAATTCTCAAAAAGTGAAATTATTGGCTACCAAAAATTTAGTCGCCAAACATACATGCTCAATTGGCTACTAAATAATTTAGTCGCTAAAAGTAAAAATACATATATTTAATTATTTTTAAAAAAATATGGCGACTAAAGTTTTAGTTGCCAATAGGTTATTTTTGGCTATCAAAACAATTTTAGTCGCCGATTGTTTCCCCAACGATCTATTGGCAACCAAACGAGTAACTAAATATATTAGTTGGCAAAAGTGATTGGTGACTAAAAAATAGGCTTTTGGCGACTAATATTTCAGTCGCCAAAAGTAAAATTTGTTGTAGTGTGATAAGATTTCGAAGCAGACACGTTTTTGAGTAATGTTTTAATTTGAATAATTTGGGGCCTTCACAGCGTGCTTAGTTGCTCTATACTTCCACACCATTGAGACTTATTAATTTTGATAGTCCTTTTTTTTTTCTTTTTTTTATTTATTATTATTTATTTATTTTGGGCTAAAAAATCACATTTCATCACATACTTCTTCGAGAGGATGAATTTTTTTAGTAAAGCAAAATCATTATTAAGAATCCAAGATTCAGATTGCAAAGATTAAGCTCACAAAACTTTGAGGTTCTTATGAAATGAAAGGAACTTCATTGTTATTGTTGGTTGCTTTTGCTATCCCTTCTTCAAATATTTATGATTTGAACAAATAAACATATTTTGCCTATGTTTGAGGGTTGGGTGTGGAGCAAAAGGTCAGGATTTATGAACATCTATGATAGATGGAGAGAAACTTTATCCAATTTAACTTTCAACTTTTCTTTTAAGGTTCAATATAAGTCCATAAAATCTTTGATGGGTAGGATGACAAATGGGCATGTTTGAGTGGGTTTTAATTAGGTTAATTTAAATTGTTGCTTTTGGAAAGCCAAACCAAACTTGCACAACAAGTAATAGGGTTTAATTGGGTTGACTTGTCCTTGGGAAATTTTGTGAAGAAAAAACTACTCCAATAAAAGGAATACTTATACAAATACAAATCAAACTAAAGGATTAAGCATAATAGACAATATGTTCTTGGATATAATGGCATTTTGATTGAGTTATTGATATAAGTAAAAACAAAGAGTAAGGTAGACAAAGAAAATAGTCCTTTTCCTTTGAATATATAGTATCAATCATTGAGTAACAAATCTTTGGATAGATGGTAGATACTAGGTTCGAAGCTTTAAAAAGTTTAGTGATGTAGTCCTTATGGAGCAAGGAAGAAATAGTGGTTGGATCCCGATTGTGAATCAAAGGCAAGGAGGTGGATCTCGGGGCTATGTAGAAAGGAGTGGTTTGTTTACTGTGTTCGTGGATAATATCCCAAGATCTTTGGATGCAAAGTCATTGTTCAAACTTTTCAATAAGTTTGGTGTAGTAAAAGATGTCTTCATCCCTTTCAAAAGAAGAAAAGCGACGAATTCAAGATTCGGTTTTGTGAGATTCGACTGTCGTGTTGCATCAAACATGGCAGTCCAGAAAACTAATGGTCTTTTGGTGGATGATAAGGTGCTTGTAGTCAAGTATGCAACTCATGACAGGAGTGTGCTTAGCAGGAGAAGGCCCCAGGTCAACAGAGAAGATTTTAACCCAATTAGAGGTAAAGATACAATCTCATTTGTTGGCCTCAAGTCATTTGCAGAGGTACTACAAGGGGACTCGACCACGGTGGATGTAAAAGCTAGCATGACCGTCAAGGCCAATGAGAATGGTCACGGTTGGCTTTATGAAAGCGTAATTATCAGGCTCAACTCGGACTACTCCATTAATAGTATCAAATTTGCTTTGAAGGATATTGGGTTAGATCAAGTGGTGGTCAGACAGGGGGGCGGCAGGGATGCAATCTTGACTTTCAAATCCCAGGAGGAGCTCAAATCAAACATCCAGAAGATTAAGGACTGGTTCAAAGACTGGAGTCAGTTTGTTTTGGAATGGAGGCCAGGAATCCATGTAGTCCAAGAGAGATGTGTTTCGTTGAAATGTCATGGTCTTCCTCTGAATCTCTGGAATAGGAGCAATCTAAATAACATTGGAGCTTTGTGGGGAACAGTCCTTCAACTGGAGGATGATCTTAGCCAACCAAAGTCATTTACATACTCCAGAATTAAAGTGGTTACAACATGCATGGAGCTAATTAAGAAAACTATTCATCTGGAATGCAAGGGTAAATTCCACCCAATTTTTGTCTGTGAAGACCACTGCGTCGATCCAGCGGAATGTAATGGAGTGAGAAAAATTGGGCTGGGTGATTGCAATAGCAGCTCCAAAGTGGAACTCAACAGAGTTGAGGATGATGACTCCACAGATGGGGGCTGCAAGAGGAAGGATGAGATTGATTTAGTGGCAAAACAGTTTGTCTTGGATGATGCTGTGATGTCGTCCTCCATTGTAGCGGCTCAAAGGAAGGAGCTCTCTCAATGCAACAGTAGAGAGGCGGTGGATACAGTTGTTGAAGAGACACGATGTGATGTAGAGGTCAGCAGACCTACTGCAGTAGGTGGGAAAGAAGCTATGATAGAGGAGTGTGCACCCTGCCCAAAGAGTGATGACCCTTCACTGAGATGTGTTGAGCACGCTTCTGCAACTGGTGTGTTTAAAAATTGCAGCGGGTCGGTAGATGGGTTTGGGCCTGGAATAAACTTGGAGGTTGTCTTAGGCTCTACGAATATGAACGAATAGTTCAAGGCCCTACTCGTAAACCAGTTGAACAACAAGGTATCAGGGCTTGTGTTAATTCTCTAATACCTGGGCCTTCCTTAACTGTTGGTTCACATGGGTCAGGTACTATGAGTCTACATGATCAAGGCCCTGGTCATTGTCCTACTCCCTTCCTCAACCCAAATTGGCCTGCCAAGAAAGCTGGGAAAAAGAAGGTTTAGATGGAAGGATTTTCTCGGTTTGCTCGACTTTATGGTCGCCAATCTGCAGCTGTCCGTAGGCTTCCCTCCAAGTCCGTGATCTTCAGGCCAGCAGCAGTGGCCCTTGCAGACTCAGAGCTGTCCGAGAGTGATTCAAGCACACGTAGCTATCTTCTCAAGGAAGCGCAGGCCACTGTCAAATTAGGAAAAGAGCTGGGAATTAAATTTCGGTAGGCAAGAAGAGGGTGTGATTGATAAGATTCTTGAGCTGGAGCGTAAGGACAAAGAGAGATACTTGTAGGATGGAACCGCTTAGATGTAATAACAATGTGCTAGGCTGTTTCAAGAGGAACCTTTTTCGGTGTACGGGTTGTTAACATTAGAGCTTCTGCAGTGGGTGTGAGGAGTTTGGTTCGGAGTAGCAGTTATGTCACTTGGGTGTTTCGGTTGGGTGAGGGTCCTTGGGTGTATTAGGTTGAGTTGGGTGTTGGTTACTTGTATCGTAAGTGTTGTGTTTCTGAATCTGGAGGTGGGTGTTAATTTGCTCAGTGGGTGCGAATTACTTTTGGGGTCGTTTTTTTTGTTTTTTGCCAACTGTGTGGCGTTGTTAGTGCGTTATGTTTTTTGTTATATTTTGTTTGTCGCTAGATAGTGCAGAAGCAGTAGCAGGGGTTCAAGGTTTGTGTAAGGTTAAGTACTTATTATCCTTTGTTTTTTTATCTTTTAAAAAATGTGAGAGGCGGAGGGGTTGGTTGTTTGGGTGCGAGTAGCAGTAGTAGGGGTAGTTTGTACTTTCCGAATCTCTCTCGGTGCACTTCATCTTCCTGTACTCTTAATTTCATGCCGTTAATGAAATTTTTCTTTACTGATAAAAAAAAATAGCTTCTCTTCTCCATAATCATCTAAACATAATTAAAACTATACCCAAAAAAATGTTTAAACATAAAAATACTTATTCTATTGCTGACATTTTTAAAAACAATAATAGTACATGCTTACCAAATTTAGCTACCAAATTTAAGATATGGTCTTTAAGATATGTTCTACAAGTTACTCTAGTTCCAAGCTTGCATTGGTGGTTGCTTTTGAAATTTCTTAGCTGTTAGGTAGTAGTCTGCTGGTCTTTATTGTTGGTGTTTGGTTTGTTTTCTCGTTGGTTTCTCACCAACTCTGGGGGTGCTAGCAAATGATAGGATGGACTTTTTGGTGCCAACCTAGTTGGGACGATTTAGCTCATTGTGATGCTTCTGCACCCTCCTTTCCTTTATTGATGTTTTCTATTTTGTACTGTGTACTTGTTTCTTACATCAATAAAGCTTTTCTTTGCCGATCAAAAAAAAAAAAAAAAAAAAATTTAAAATTTGGCCTAT